AAAACTAAATGTGTTCTTTTTTTCTTATAAAAGGCTGAATAAAACAAAAATATTGGTGGTAATTTTTGACTGTGTAACTTTACAAACGGCACCCCACAGAGCAGCTTACACAATATATACCCAGTTMTCGTTGATGGATTTGTGTTTGCAAGGAGGCTGTTGACGCTCCTTCACCTGCTGTCAACTATTTATCTGTTTTATTTTCTGTCTTCCAGAGCAGTTCAGTACGAAGAGCGTTTTCTCAGACGAGTGAAAAGTGTCACTCTTGCGCGAAGCGTGTTTACATGATCGAAAGGATCTGTGCTGAGGGGCTCTACTTCCACAGAGAGTGTTTCCGGTGTTCAACCTGCAGCTCTGCTCTGAGGCAGGGAGCGCAGGCATTCAACTCACAAGACGGTATGTGTCTGAAATCGTAACACGTGTGAATCAGAAATAAATTGGYCATATCCTGCAAAATCCACTTTTTTAGCCGTTTAATCCATTTTGTTGTACTTGGAGTTTCTATGAGTGCAGAAAAGTTGAATTTAGTCTGCTGCGTYGATATCTTTATATTCTGTTTGGGTCAWCTCGTTCAGTTTTCTCTATTTTATATGATGTTGATCATAAATGATGAAGATCTGGACTTTCCAACTACTWTTTGGTGGTCTTCATTCCCCTCTGGCTCTGGGTCAGACTCTGGCTCCAACATGTAAGGCTGGACGGGCAAGTCTTCCRTTGTTGYCATCTTTTAATTAATTAGTAAATAAAAAGTTTCTGCTCTGCCATATAGACATAAACCCCTCTATCAAACTAAAATGGGCCGGTCTGGAGGCAGGAGAGGGGCGGGGTTTATAGCGCCTCCTTTGGATTTAAAGGGACAGCCTTTAAATGAGCTGATCTGAGGCACGCCACAGAAAAGGGGTGAAAGAGGGGCTTGTGGGAGGAACTCAGACCAAAGCATTCCAGTTCCACTTCATATAGACCCCAACTGACTGATTTAAATGTGAAAAAGAAGGATTTAAAGGCAGGATATGTCTCCTTTAACTTGATTTAATCCTAACATGTTTGGTAATCTTAAAGGGAAATTGTACTGCAAACATCATTTTGATCAACAAACCAATGGAGCAAACCTGAGGAGGACTTTGTCTTTACCTTCAGTGAGTACCTATCTACCTCACTCTAACAGCGTTAACTATACAATAACTAACATCTCCGTCTCTCCATTAGAGCTGTAATCGAGTTCAGGTGCGGKGTGCCAAAGAAGAAAAGAGCTGCCAGTCCAACGGCACGGCAGCCCTGCAGAGTCCACCTGCAGCAGGTACCTGCACTTCGTCCATCAGGAAAACGCTGAGCTGGCCTCTGAGTGTGACGCGTGCCGTGTGTAACGCCCCCTGGTATCTGTCCCGCCGTGTGCGCACTGCAGCACAGGCCCTGGCCAGCCACCTGCGGCACAACGCGCAGGACTACACACTGCTGTACGAGCTGCTGAGCATGAGCTTCCCCCTGCTCTTTGTTTTACAAGAGGTACTGCTGCAGATGCACGCCGAGGCCGTGCCCGACGAGCCCGGCCTGCTGCAGCCTGCGCTGCTCTGGCTGCAGGAGCAGGTTCAGCTCAGGCTCATCTAGTTCGAACTGAGCTTTACTCTGTAATGCAATAGTTCTTTTGGAGGACGTGCACACTGACTGAACTGTTCTCATCGTACTGCCATTTATAAACTCGTATGCACCTTTTTCATGCTTAAGTGTCTTTTATGATGACACTGAAAGCAGATTAGTCAGTGTGTGAGATTTAGCACAGGCGGTTGCTCATCCAGATTTATGGAGTTCTCTGCGTTTACAAAGCTAGTTTATCAAATACTGAATGCAACACGTTTTAAACATGGGTTTGCTCTGAGACTGCACCGAAATGCTGAGATAAATTAGGTTTTTGTAAAAGAGTTAAAAAGCAACTAAGTGAAACAAAGCTTTAGACTGCTGAGGTGTGTGATCATCATTGCTGTAGAGTTTACAAGCTGTCTAAGAAATTCAGTCAGGAATAAATCTTTGTTTTGGGTAAATGACTGAAAAACTCGATGCACTTTATCTTTAACATTTGCAATCTTCACGTAGCAGTAAATATACGTTAAGGGAAATAAAGTCTCAATTTGCAAGTTTTCTTTAGCCTCTAACTTTTAAATTGCTGTGCTTTACAGGCGTTTTAGTAGAATTGTTTTTAAACAGTTCTACGTTTTGTTTACTTTTTGAATGGTTTTCTTTTATTTTATGCTTAATAATTGACGCCAAAATAAAATCGGATACTGTGGATCATGCAGAATACTGAGGAGAATTTAGCTTTATTTTGCTGCCATCTACTGATGAACAACAGAGTTACATGAAGGAAAAACGAGACCCCTCATTTTGAGACTTGTTTAAACAGTTTGTCAGACTTACTGTAGATGAAATAAGCATGCATGCTGTAATGTTTGAATGTGTTTGCTGTCTATCTGAGACATGGTGTAATATTAACTGCAGACCTCTTTGACTGGAACAACCATGTTGTTTCCTATTCAGATACACAATCTAYTGATGCCCAAAGAGCTCATTAGAGTCAATTAAACCTTTAAAATGTATTTTAAAACTATATTTGTAACAGTGCCTTATGTTTTCTCAAATTTATAATGGCACGATGAAACTTTTGTGTGTTTTTAATCCACTTTTTAATCATTTGTGTTGAATAACTGAACCTGCTGCATGCAACATGAGCTAACTGTTTACTCCGCATGTGGAAAAAATACCAAAGAATTCATTTAGTACTCGCTAACTGGATTTCTTATGTAATTTATACAACTGTGCAGAAAAATGAACTGTAAACAATGGTGCCAGKATCAGAATATCCTCTGCCTATGAATGTCAGTATTGTTTTTTTTGCATAAAGACTTGTTGGTTTTGCGCATTCACTTGTTTTTATTAATGTTTTTAATGTTGCCAGTGTTTTAGTTCTTGTTTTCTCTTCTCCTCTCACTCAGCTGATGCCTTTTATGAAACATGTGAGGCAGACGGATGGTTTGGATAAAATGACCTTTTGAAGGTGATCACCTGCATGGTCACTGGGTTTTGTGGCTGCAATGTAAAACTGATGCACAGTTTTCAACACGACAGAACAATYTGTTCAGTTTGAAAGATTTGAGCTGTGGCCTGATGAACGTTTTACGACTGATGTGTGAAGTCAGAGTTGGTAACAAATCCCCTGATCTGCCATGGGAACGAGCTTGTTCTAATGCAGCATGGTGTGAGACTTCTGCCTTCACAATATATGAATAAAGTTGAACTAAACATTTTGTCTAACTACTGGCTGGTAAAAAATAAATAAATGAAAAAACACAGTTTTTTTGCATTTGCGTGACAGTTTTGTCCTGTAAATGTCCGATTTGGTATTTAAAATGTGCTTTTGCTGATTAAATCTCTGTTAACTGGACTTAAAGGTTGTAAATCAGATCACAAACACAAACTGTATCTCTAGTTATTTTGAGTATTTGGTGGATGTTGAAAAACATTTATTTAATACATTCATTTCCAGATACGCCATATATGGAGGATCGATTTGTGAAATAAGATCCAAAATGGAATTGTATGTCTTGCCAAATCTTGTTGGTACTTTAATTAACTGTTGAAGCTCTAAGTTTATAGACATTGCTTTCAGGCCTTTGGAAGTTTTATCAGCCCAATTCATATTGATATCACCAAGAATCACAAACTCTTGATTTTATGCCTTTTATGATGTCAGTGAGCTGCGCTAAATATTTAGTTGAATTAACACTTGGAGGTTTATATGTAACAACAACCGTTACTGAAAGGTGATTTGTAAGCTTGATTTCTAATTGCAGAGATTCAGACTCAGTTGACAATTCTATTATAGAATGTGAGTATTTCTTGTGAACATAAASTGCAACACCACCTCCAAGCCTATCAGTACGGTCTCTACGATACAAAAAATAATTTTCAACTGAAAGAAAAGAATTTGGTATAGCAGGAGTCAGCCATGATTCTGATATAGCCATAACATGTGCTTGTGTCTGAGCAAGTATTACTTTGAATTGATGAAACACACGTACTAAACCAATTATTTTTCCATTCTACCAATTCGAACATAAAAACTCTTAACAGGAATGTGTCACCGATCCATTGAGGTAGAACAGCCTCAGACTGCTCTTGCACTGAGAATGAAAAGGTGTTTTTGTTCGGTTTAATTTGAGGTTCAAAAACAAACATTTAAACCTAAGGTAAAACCTCAAAACTTGTGTCATTGTCGRGTCAAAGGCTTTTTCTTCAGGAGTTTGTGTGCTGTTGGTACAATTTAATATGCAGGATGGCACATTGGATTGTCTTATTTTACTAAGTTTTCATTATGTGTTGAAGAAGTTTGTCCAAATCAAGAATAAGAAGTCTATAAAAAAAGCCTGGAAGGAATGTCTGTTGAAATGTTCACATTTCTTCATGTCTGCTTCTCCACAGAGGACTGACTGACAGGCACAGTTTAAATTTTACAGTTATTGTTATTGTGAAAAGAAAAAAAATAAGTAGGTCCTCTGGTTCTTCTTTAATGAGAAGAGAGAATGAGAAGGTTCTTCTTTCATTAAAGAAGAACCCATCCAGAGGACCTGTTTTTTCTTTTTGATTTTTCTACCTGGATTACTGAGYTGCATCAGGACATTGTTGCTGTGGCTTTATATCAGTCAGTTCAACAGTGTTTGTGGTCTCTTTTTATRAGACAAAAGTTATCCTGTGGGTTTGTTTGTCCTCACTGTGAAGTCAACAGTGTTACACCTTTGAAGGTTGGATTCAGCTGAAATGCTTTTTTCGTTTTATTTCAGTTTAAAGCAAAGAAATTCCAAAATTTTAAGCTTGCCTGCAGTTTTATGTTATAATAATAAAACAGTAATGATCATAGATGTATTTATATTTATTAAGACTCTATCAACAGATCAACCTGTACTTCTGCAGAACCCAACAAGTTGGATTCAGAATGATTTTAAAACAGTAGGGGGCGCTGCTTTTTAACACAGATGCTGAAAGCTGCATTAAATCAGAGCTGAATGACAGCAAGCTCAAGAATTGCATTATTTTTTTCACAAAGCATGATCCAGGTAAATGGCTGTTTTTGCCTACAGATTTATATGTTGTGTTTAAACAATTCGTTTTACATTTAAAATCAAATACTTTAAATTTCTTTAAAATTAAATTGTTTATTTTGCTTTTTAAAGATCCAACTACAAAAACATAACAGTCAGACTAGCATATATTCAGATATTTAAAAAATAAATAAATGTTGTGAATTTTGAACAAATCAAATTTATGCTCATGTGACTTGAAATGAAGTTGGATTTCCTTCTGTTTACAAAAGAAGCAATATTTTATATGTTTCAGGCACAAAACTGGACTTTTTTGACAGTTTGATTCTTGAATCTTTTGAAATCACGAGCAAAGGATTTATGTTTCCTATTATTGTGTTACATGTTTGTTTGTTTTTATCTGACATACCAACAAACTGTACTTTTTTCCTCCCTGGTGCAAAGAAAATAAAGTTGCTGCTTTTATAAAGCTGCAGAACAAATATATCTGTCTTGTTTTTGTAAATAAATAAATCAATTGTTGACTTTCTATCACTGTGATTTTAATCATTTTAAWTCATTTACTCTAATGATTTAAAGTGCAGTGTTCATATGTTCTCACACTTTAAATGATGGCACTTGTTTCTTGTCTCATATAGGAAACAATAATTCTTCAGCTTTATGTCAGAAACATAACCACACTACACCTTTTTTTTAGTTGCATATGAAATATCAATGAAATATGAAAAGTTTGGGCTATATATGACAGGCTTCTGGGGTGTTTGTCATTGCAAAGATAACTCAAAAATACAAATTTTACTCAAATATTTTTTTCTATTTTAGTAGATACTTTCCGTAAACAGTTACATCATGAAGAACAAATTAGTTTACTTAAATCTGATGTTTTGTTTCCAGACAACGCCCACAGGAGACTTATCACCCCTGTGTTTGTCCTGATCCCTACAGAATATAACCTGTTCCTCTCATAACTTCAGTTTTTTTAAATAAGTGTTTTTTTTTCTTTAAATGCACAAAGAGAAAACAAGTCATAAAGTAACTATAATTAGCTTTTACGCAAAGGAGCAATCAGAGCTTGAAATTGCTCTGAAATTACAGAAGCTGTGAAAGTTAATGAAAAAAACAGAAAAGCTGGCGGGGATGAATCTAAAAATACAAAGCCATTATTTTGGCACTTTTCACGCAAATCACCCTTTTAAACATTCAAAGATAAATCTCCAGACAGAACAGGCACATTGTAAACATTCAGCTTCTGCTTTGAGCTGAAACTTTTCTCTCTCTCTCTCCTTACACTGCAAAGAAATTTACTTCACGTTTCACTACAACTGTTTAAACCTAACCAGCTCATTGATTTCATCACTATGAAACCCAGCAGCAAACAGGGATGAAACACCTTTGGAACCACAGCAGAGGAGCTGATGAACAACCTCTCAGTGTCGTATTGACAAACGAGACAGGAGGACGGATGGCAGCTGATCTGAGTCCCTTCAGACTTTCTCTGATGCTTTAAGSTCCGGTCCACACAGAAATGAGGAGATGCTTCTGGTTGCTCCTGATTTCTGCTTCAACGTGTGTAAAAATGCAGAAACAATGCAGGCAATGCCTACTTTTATTTCTCTATCTGAATCTAATTTTTAAATAATTTAATGTGTTGTATTCAATATTAAAAATATGGAGTTTCAAACTTTTGCTTTTTTTCCGCAAATGAACTGATTTGACCACAACTTCTATTAAGTCACGTCTATTTGACTGAAACATTCATAGGAATTTGAATAATCCTTTCCTTATGAATGTTTTTTTTTGTTGTCATGAAATATTATGTGTCTATGTTTGTGTGTGTGTGTGTGTGTGTGTGTGTGTGTGTGTGTGTGTGTGT